GTCCCTCCAACCCAAATCATTCCATAATTCTGTGTTTCAGTGGCCACATCTCCAGTGAGAATAAAACACCATCATGAGCTCTGGGGGTTGCAGAGTCCTCCAGGAGGCACCCAATTCCTCCCCCAAAAAACAACATCCCTCTCCCCCTGAGTCCATCAGCTGGCTCCTCTGGTAACATGTTGCCTCACGTGTCATCAGGAAGGAATTTGGGCCCTGTTTGATGATCAGAGAGGGATCAGGATCACAGTTCTCCCACCACAAAGCACGTCAGCAGGTCTTTCCAGCCTCCCTCGCTCTGTGTAGGTCGGCCAAGGACCTGCTCCTTCCCGGGCATCCCCGGCCCCCACTCATCAATCAAAGCATTCCTGGTTTCCTCTCAGTGTCCACAAACACTCACAGAGGTTTCTTCTTCAAAAAACTTTCATCTGGGCAATTGTTCAAAAATGTTACAATTACCTGCTCCTTTTAAGCTCTGATGACGGCCCGTGGAGCCGTAACTTGAGCCAGACCTGCAGACGTCTGGTTTAAGGTTAAAAAGTCCTCCAAGCTGAGCTTCAGCCAGCAGAGCCATGAAAAATCAACTTGCCCCGTGTTAATTTTGGGTTCCTCTTGTTAATGAAGTTGTGGAGGAGCCCCCATGGGGGTCTGGCTTTGTGTTATCCCAACTTCACACGGTCAGTGAAAGGATTCATGGAAGCAGATCCCAAGGAGGAGTTAAAATCCCAGAATAATTAAAGCTGGAAAAGAGCTTTAAAATCTTTTGAGTCCAACCAGCAAACCCAGTACCACCATCATGGTCACCATTAACCCACGTCCTCAAGTGCCACATCCACACATTTTTTGGACATTCCCAGGGATGAGGATTCCACCACTGCCCTGGGCAACCTGTTCCAGGGCTTTATAACCCTTTCCATGAAGAGTCCTGCACACAAACCACCCACAGCAGGGGGGGAAGGGGGGAAATCAGCACTTGAATATTTCAAATGGGAATAAACAAAGATCTTTTCTCCCAGATATTAACTTTGTTAAGGTTAGGGTTGCTTCCTTCTCCCTCACAGACACTCAGTGCAGATTCACACCCCTCCAAGACTCAAAAAACCCCAAAGTTCACCTGCCCTAAAACCCCTTGGGCTCCCACTGCAGCACCTTCCCCCCAGCAGGAGGGGTTTGGGGCATTAAAATGAATTTTTAACCCCGAAGGGGAAAATCCCCAAGGAAAGGAGGATGTAGAGAGGTCAGGAATGTAGGTAGCTCCAAAACAGGATTAGACATTTCTGAGGATGTCAGGAACAGCTAAATCCCACACAATTAATGATCATCAGCCTGGCTGGGATGGAACCCAAGGGATGCAAGACTCCTGGAAATATTGCTGGAGACCAGGACAAGAGCAGGAGCAGCATCATTACTGAATATCCCGAGCTGGAAAGGATCCACAAGGATCCTCGAGTCCAACTCCCGGCCCTGCACAGGACAGGAGCATCTCCCCCTCTCTCCACACACAGTGGGAATGTTCTGGTGGGATTCTGGCTCTGTCCCAGCTCAGGGGCTTCTGTGGGAGCAGAGAGAAGAGAGGGGAAAGGGCTGGATGGGCTGGGAGAGCCAGGACAGGACAAGTGGTGGAGTCACCAAGCCTGGAATTGTTCCAAAAACGGGCGGATGTGGCGCTTCACGAAATAATTTGGGCAAGGGGAGGGTGTTTGGGCTTGATGATCTTGGAGGTCTTTTCCAACCTTTAAGGTTCTGTGATTCCCTGTGAAGGAAATACCCACTTTTTGTGCCAAATTTGTAGCCCAGGCACCTCAGAACTTCCGAGCAAGGAGCCAAATGTGCCTCCACGCCCGGGCGATTTATTCCAGCCGTTTCATGGGAATTCCCACTGGCTTTTAGCACCAGCTCAACACCACTCAGCCAGGATTCACTCCTTACCTGTGACAGTTCAGCAGGGAGGGGGGGAACACCCCCAGCACCCAACAGTGCCATGGAGAGAGCACATCCAGAGCCTGTGGCAGCTCCCTGATCGCTCCCAGGTGGGTGCCACAGAGTCGGAGCCAGGAGTGATTCCAGGCTGGGAATGGGAGCCAGCATCTCCCTGCAAGCAGATGTCCCAGAGGGGAACATTAGAGCCTTCATTACCCAATTAAAAGCATGTTGGAGGGGGATTTGATTGCTTGGTTTGACAGGGGGAGGAAAACCCTCCGGGTCCTGGCAGGGACGAGGATTTACGAGTTGCTTCGGGTCGCTCTGCCTGGTCTTGGTATGTAGCAAAGGAGCAACAAAACCCCCCCAAAAAGTAAGGAGGGATGGTGTCTGCATTCCTGCTGCTTGAATCAGATGTCTTTCCTGGCAGCTCCAGTCCCTCCCAGCTCCAGGGACTCCGGGGAGGGGCAGCAGTGGATGCACTGGAGCAGGTCTGACATCTGGCACCGAGGGCTGCCCGTGGGCCACATCCTCTCCCTCAGAGGTGGAAATGATTCCCTGTCACTTGTGAACACCTCCCAGGGATGTGCTGGATGTTCTCTCCCAGTTTGCTGAAGGGCAGGATCCACCTTCTTCCTGCTCCAGAGGCCTGGAATGAACCCTGCTGGGTGCCTGCCCCACGGATCCCCGGCTCCCTCCCCTTCCTCTCCCTGGAAAAAACATCACCTCAGGTTGGGAAAGGAGGGAAGACAAACCTCCCAGACTTCCTGCAGAGGGTGAACAGCACCCAGGAACACCTCTGGACAGCAGGGATTTGGGATCACCTCTATTTATTGCCAAACACCAGTGTCTGAGCACCTCCCTTGGCACCCGCTCTCCCTCCTCACCTGCTCCTGGCCACGAATTCCCTGTGCTCCCACCTTCCCCTCATGCCTCAATCCAAAGTGTCTGGTGTTTCTCTTTGAGGCAACTCTGAAATGAGAGGAGAAAAGTTATAAGTTATTTCAAAGCTCTCTGCTTCAAAAAAAACATCCAACCCAAATTTAGGCACCGCGAAGCCATAAACGTTCCTTTTTATTGCACACACAAAATAACCCTCTGCAATATGATTCCTCTCAATTTATGGTTCTCCCAGAGCCATTAATTCAGCCCAGGTCTTTTCTTCTTCTTCTTTTTTTTTTTTTTTATTCTTTTATTCTTCTCCCCCTCCCAACTTGAAGTCAAATAATTCATAAATACTTTGCCCTGGATTGTGCTTTATGAGCATTACGATGATCACTTGACTGTGGAAATGCCTGTGAAGTTATTAAGGGAGTTTTAATACACCACAGACTCCCCAGAGGGGCAGAGCAACTCCATCACACTCTGGAGGGAAGAGCTCTCTTGTGAGGCTCTTTATTTAGCCAAACAATCAGGATTTTACAGCCCAGATATCTCTGAATCGAGTCAATCACAACCTCTGGGGTGGGTTTTGGTTTGTTGTGCTCCAGCATCCTCCTGGAGTGAGATGTGACTCAGATCCACAAGTCTCCATATCATTTTCAGACCCAAACCCAGAAAAAAAAAAAGACTAAAAAAATTTAAAAAATGCTCAGAGGAGCATCAGCAAAACCATTGGATGGTTGGGCTTGATGGTCTCGGGGATCTTTTCCAACCTTAACAGCTGGACTTGATGATTTTAAAGGTCTTTTCCAACCTGATTTTATGCTAAAAACATGAAGAAGAGCAGGTCACTGACCTCCTTGGAGTCTCCAGGTAGGAAGGAGGCATGGAAAAATCGGATTTCCCTGGGCAGACACTGCTTTTTCTGTCATCTTTGCTGTTGAAATTCAGTCCCAGGGGTGAAAGTCAGAGCTGGAAACCTTTGGTTGATTATAGGGAAAGAGGAAACATAACGATTAAATTACAAATAGGAACTCACAGAATCAAACAGATTTTCTGGGATGGCTGGGCCACACTCAGGGTATCCCATAAAAAAGGGGCTTTGGATCTGGAATCTCCGGGTTCTGCGTTTCTCCTCCTCATTTTCTCCTGCAAACCAACCAAGACCCACAAACTGCGGAGCCAAACATCAGTGGGAGCACCTTTGGATCCCCTGAGAGGTGCTGTGGGATGACACCCCCCCCTCTGCAGCCCCCAAAACCCCCCCGACCTCCCCCAGGACCACCCAGGAAGAGCTTCAAGAGGAGCCCACGAGTCCTCCCTGCTGCTGAACCTCCTCTGCTCCCCAGGAAATCCGTGTTTTTCCCCTTGTAAAAAACTCCTCAGGCAACTGCCTCCGTATCTCCAAGGTGTCTTCGAGCCACGGAGGTGCAAATATTTATCCATACTTGGAATTGCAGAGTGAAGCCTGACTAAGTGTTCCCAGACACTCGAGCTGTTGTTGTTTTAAGACCTGGGCCCGTGGACACCTGGCTGGAATTAATCAGCAGATGGGAGCAGGGAGGCAGAGCAGAGCCCTCATTAACCCTTCACACATCAATGTCAAGGTCACAGGGGGGTTCAGCCTGGACCTGTCAACAGCCTGGGAATCCCAAAGCAAGGAATGTCCTTCCCGGAGCAGGGCATGAACTGGAAGCAGGATTTATCACACTGCTGTCACCACCCAGCTGAGGCTCTGCCTTGGGAATAGCAGCAGGAGTAAATGTTTATGACTAGATAATAAAACACCAGAGCAAACCCACCTTCTGCCCAGGCTCTGCCTTAATCCGGGAGCTGAAGCATCTCCTGAAGGGAAAGGATCCACTTTGCACCGGGGGGTTTCGTGTGGAAAGTTTGGATTATTGGAGTAGATGGGTTATTAGGGAGAATTTCTTGGTTGGATTGGATATCAGGAGCATTTCTTCACTGAAGGGGTTGTCCAGCCCTGGCAGTGGGGAAGTGACAACCCTGGAAGTGTCCAATAAATGTGTGGATGTGGCACTTGGGGACATGGATCAGCAGCGGATCCGAGCTCAGGTGGCATCACATCCTCCACCCCTCACACCCCCTGAGCAGCTGCCCCAACCATCAGTTGCTGCCTCCTTCTCCAACCAGGACTTGGGAACGGAACAGAGACCCCAGGAGCTGAACACATCCCAGGGAAATGGAAAAACACAGCCAGGAACTTCCAAATTCTGCCTCCTGCAAAGCCAGTCCCAGCCAGGCAGGAGGGTGTGGATGCAGCCAAGCACCGGGATGATTTTCACCCTGGCGACCTCAACACCAAACAACACCAAACAATGCACTCCCCGAGCCCCCAGGTCAGCACAAACGCCCCACAAAAGCTCCTTGCCCGGCTCTGTTGATGTCTCTCCCCGTGTTTTTCACACCCGGGGAAGTCAAACAGGCGATGGGGGAGGGAGGATTTGCTGCCGCCCACCAAGGGGGGGAAGTTTTGCTCTTGAGGAGATGTAAACAAGCCCTGGAGCAGGTCGGGGCTCCCCTGCCCTCTTTTATCACGGCTCCTTTCTTTTGGTATAAACACCAGCCCCAGGTCAGGGCCCATAATCTGTCCCAGCTGCTTTTCCAAGGGTTGATTTAAAGGCTTCAAACCTGAAGTGTGGGGGGTGAAATAATCCCCACCCGCTGCTTTGTCTCTCTCTTTGGGGTCAATTTGTGATCCCAAAACTTCTTCCCCTGGTACCAGGGGTTGGGGAATGGTTCCTCCAGGAGGTTGGAGGTGGTTCCTCCATGGGAGGTGGCCGTGGCTCTCCTCCTCCTCCTCCTCCTCCTTCTCCTCCTCCTCCTCCTCCTCCACACAGCTCCAGGAGCACTGAGCTGCCCCAGGGCACTGCTGGACATGGGGCTTTATCCTGGAGCAGAGTCCTGTGGGGTCAGGGAACACCCAGAGTTGTGCCAGGGGAGGTTTGGGATGGATCTCAGGGAAAGGTTCTTCCTCCCCAGAGGGTGGTTGGGCACTGACCAGGGCAGTGGGCACAGCCCCAAGGCTGCCAGAGCTCCAGGAGGGTTTGGATGATCCCCTGAGGGACAGGGTGGGATTATTGGGGTGTCCTGGGGTTGGACTGGATGATCCTTGGGGTGTTCCTTCCAGCTCAGGGTGTTCTGTGGTTCTGTGAGTGGCTGGGAGGGAACCACGAGCCCTTGGCCTGTCAGGGAGTTTATCCCAAGCTCATCCCAAGCTCTCAGCCAAGGTCTCTGTGTCCCAGGATCCATCCCCAGCACAAACCCGTCTCACAAAGCCCAGTCCAACATTCCCAGTGTTTATCCAGGACTCAGGAGTGTCTCTGTCCCCAGGGACATCAAGGCTTGCCCAGGCACTGGAGCAGTGACCGTGGCCATGCCCTTTTTGAGCCTGAGCTGCCCAACCCTCCTCCCAGCCCTCCCTGAGCCCCAGCAGAGGGAAATCCAGATCCACAATTATTGTTTTCCAACAGGAATGAGTCCAACCCAATCCCACATTTCAAAGACTTACCCCAACCCACCCTGGGATGGACCTCAAAGTCCATCCAGTCCCACCCCTGCCACGGGCAGGGACACCTTCCACCATCCCAGGTTGCTCCAACCTGGCCTTGGGCACTTCCAGGGATTCCTTGAGGTGAATTCCTTCTTCCTGGACTGCATAAACACCTTTAGAAATAAAATTAAAAAATCAGGAAGAGGAAGGATTTTTTTCTCTTCAGGTCAACCCAAACTGAAACCTTCCCATTTGCCTCAGCAAACCAGGTTTTTTTTCCTTAAGTGGCGACAATGAAAACATCTTGTTCTCCCCAAAATAAAATGTGTCTCTGTTTGCAAATTCATCTTTGAAGGCACTTGTGGTCCCCTGCCTTTCCTAATTAAATGCAGGCAGATCTTAATTGGGAAACACCACAGTGTAATAAACCTTAATTTCAAGCATATCTCAAACAAAGCCTGCAGCTTTTCAGCCCCAAAATACTCCTTTTCTGTTGTTGTTGTTTGGTTCAAGTTGTAAATAATTTCAAAGGCACCGAAATAACTTTTATTTTCCCTACAAACAAACGTTTCATCTTAATTTCAGCTCCCAGTGATCAGAGCCAGACTCTTCCCAGTGGTGCCCAGGAAGTGGATAAAAGGGAAGGGCAGGAGCTGAGATAGAGAAATTCCCTTTAAACAGAGGAGAAATTTTATATTTAATTTTTATTTTATTTATTTTTTTTTACTTAAGGGTGGCCAAATGCTGGAGCAGATTGTGCAGGGTGGTTGTGGAGTCTCCATCCTTTGAGATGATCAATCCCTGGACCTGGACAAGGTGGAGGAGGTGGGAACATCATGAGGATCAACAAGGCCAAGTGCCAGGTCAAGGGCTCACATCCCAGAAATCCATCCGTGTCCTGGGCTCATCCCACAGCAGGTGAGGGGGGAATTCTGCTCCTCTGCTCAGCTCAGGTGAGATCCCACCTGCAGAGCTGCCTCCGGATCTGGGATCCCAAAATAAGGATGTGGAGCTGCTGGAATAAGTCCAGAGGAGGACATGGAGCTGCTCCAAGGGCTGGAACCAGGCTGGGAGAGCTGGGGGGGTTCACCTGGAGAAGGGAAGGATCCAGGGAGACCTGAGAGCACCTTCCAGGGCCTAAAGGGGCTCCAGGAGAGCTGGAGAGGGACTGGGGACAAGGGATGGAGGGACAGGACACAGGGAATGGCTTCAAACTGAGGTCAGGGTTAGGTGGGATATTGGGAAGGAATTCCTCCCTGTGAGGGTGGGGAGGGACTGGGATGGATTTCCCAGAGAAGCTGTGGCTGCCCCATCCCTGGAATTGTCCAAGGCCAGGTTGGAGCAACCTGGGATAGTGGGAGGTGTCCCTGCCCATGGCAGGGTTGGCACTGGATGAGCTTTAAGATCCCTCCCATCCCAAACCATTCCGGGGGAAAAAACCAGCATCTCAGCCCGTCTTTAAGGTTGGAGGGGTGGTGAATTTACCCTTTCTGGTCTCCCCGTGGAGAAAAATCCGCAGGGAATCTCCCTCCGTCCCATCTCCTGGTGCGCGGGGCCCTCTGGAGCCCGCGCCGCGCATCGCCCGCGGCCGCCGATGGATCCACCGCTCTCCCGGCTGGATCCGCCGCCGGGAACAGCTGGATTTGCTGGAATGACAAAGCCATCGGCACGGCTGGACGAGCCAGTGATTCCTGTGGCGGGTTTATACAGGTAGGAAAGGAATTTTTGGGGGGATCTGCGTCGCTGCGACCCGCAGGGCTTGCGGAATGTCCCAGTGGGCACCGCCTAAAACCGAGCACCAAATCCAGGGAAATAAAAGCAGGATGCTCACATTGACAGGCAGTGACTTTCCAAAAGGGTCACATCCTCCCCCTCGCGGGAGTGTTTGGCTCGTAGGGTGGGAAAAACACAGTTAGGGAACAGGAAACCTGTTATCCCAGGGGAAAGAGCAGGTGGAGATGGGAGAGAGACTGGAAAAAAGCTGCTTGGGAAAACACCCAGCACCAGGAAGGACCCGATCCTCGATATTGCCTCCTCCAGATGGGCAGGACTCTGCAGGAGCTGGGCTCAGCATGGAATTCCCAGAGGAATTGCAGTGCTGGGAAGGGAGCCGGGTGCAGGGCTCGCTGTGCACATCCTGGAATCCCTGAGGAAAAGGGAGTCCCAACAAATCCGCTGTCCCTGGCAAGCAGAGCTGGGCCAACTCACTGCGTGCTCAATGAAATTCCTGCGGGATCAGATGGATGGAGTTTGGACAGGGAACACCTGCTCCAAGGCCCGGGACAGCAGCCAGTAGATGGCATTCACATTCCATACGTGTGCTGCCATGTCAGGCTTGGGCTGCTCCGGGAAACGGGAAAAGAACATTTTTCATGGGAAAACGAAGGTAAAAAGCAAATATTCAGCAGAGGTGACCCTGAAGGCTTTGACAATTAACTTTGGAGCCATCAGGTGCTACAGATTTCCCGGTATTTCCTGTCCCCATGGATCTTCTGTCAGCTTCTAACAGAGAATCCCAGGATGGTTTGGGTGGGAAGGGACCTTAAAGCCCATCCAGTGCCACCCCCTGCCATGGGCAGGGACACCTTCCACTAGCCCAGGTTGCTCCAACCTGGCCTTGGACAATTCCAGGGATGGGGCAGCCACAGCTTCTCTGGGAATTCCATCCCAGCCCCTCCCCACTCTCCCAGGGAAGAATTCCTTCCCAATATCCCATCTATCCCTGCTCTCTGGCAGTAGGAAGCCATTCCCCCTTGTCCTGTCCCTCCATTCCTTGTCCAAAGTTCCTCTCCAGCTTTCTTGGAGCCCTTTTAGGCCCTGGAAGGGGCTCTCAGGTGTCCCTGGATCCTTCCCTTCTCCAGGTGAACCCCCCCAGCTCTGCCAGTTGGTCTCCATGGGATGTTCTCCTCGTGTGCATTATTGAAAATGACCCTTTCAGTTCAAAAACTTTCCCTGACATCCAACCTGAACCTCTCCTGGTGCGGCCTGAGGCTGTTCCCTCTTGTCCTGTCCCTTCTTCCCTGGGAGCAGAGCCCGATTCCCACCTGGCTCCCCCTTCCTGTCGGGCCTGGAGCAGAGGAAAATCCCGATGTCTTCAGTCACCTTTCGATTTGCAAAGGAACCAGCAGGGCTCAGGGTCGGGATGCAGTTATGGACATCCTGGGAGCAGGGAGCAGGGATTCACCCTCCTGGGATGAGCAGGACCTTCTGTCTGTCTGTCTGTCCAGAACCCAGCCCCGGTGCCTGAGATCTGGGGACAAATCAGCCCTGCAAGCTGGGCCATTAAATCCTGCATCCCCTTTTACTTCCTCAGGGAATGATGCACCGCATTAAAATCCCTCCCACCCCTCCTCCAGGACCAGGATGACGGGCATCCCTGTCTCCCACTGCAAGGAGAGGGTGTGCTCAGCCCCTGGCAGCCCCATCCGGATCCATCCGGAGGAAGGATGCGGGCAGAGATTCGGTGCCTCGCAGCCCATTGGAGGAGCGTTGGCACTGGCAGGGGGGTCCTTCGGGCTCCTGTCCCCACCCTCCTCCTCCAGACTCCCCTCCCTGTCCCCAGCGCCATCCTCACACACACAAAAGCAGGGAATTAGCTGCCTTAGGGCAGCCGAGGCTTAGCCAGCTGCGGGCGGAAAATCGGAATAAAATACCTTGGAGGGGAGGGGAGAGAAGGGAGGGGAGGGAAGGGAGGCGGCAGAGGAAGCAGCAGCCATGGAAGAATACAAATAACTGCCCTCAATCCATCCCTCTTTGCCGAGCGAAGCACAAAGCCACGGATGCCGCGCGAGAAGCCGACCTGGATGCATCCCCACATTCCATCTGCATCCGGATCCAGGGGCTGCGCCTCCTGAGCGGTCTCTCCCATCGGGAGGAATGCCGGGCCGGGAGACGGGCGGGATCAGCTTTGTTCCTCGCTAAGCACCGGCAGCGGTGAGTAGGGCACCGGGAAGGTGGGACACCGGGAAGGTCCTCCCGCCCGGGCTTGGCTTCGCTGCCTTTCCTTCCCTTCCCTTCCCTTCCCTTCCCTTCCTCCCTCCATGATGCCTCCGGGGTTGGCAGAAAGCAGCTGACAGGGAGGGAGGGGGAAGGTGGGATCTCTCCCGGAGCTCCAGAGTATCTATTTGGTCTGAATTTCAAGGAAATAAAAAACGGCGAGAGGTGGGACCGTGCCACAGGCACCCCCCTGAGCCAGGTGTGGGCTGGGGGGGAGCAGAATCCAGGATGGATTCTGGGAGATCCGGGCAGGGAGAGAGCCCTGCAATGCTGACAGCCAGCTCTTTTTTTGCTGATTCCAGTGCCTGGAATACAGAGGGATGCTGGATTTACTCAGGCCTCGTTCCTTTAAGGCAAAATTCACAGGGATTTCTCTCCTCCAGATCATCCCCAGCCTCCAAGGGAAGCAGGAAAAGCTCTGGCTCTCTGGAAGAGCCACCTCTGCTTGGTGCTGGTGTCCCTGCACTGGGGGATGGAGACAGAGCAGCCCCATCCACCCAGGAAATCACC